TGAAATATGTGCAGAAGTGGTGGCTCTCTTAAGAAATGAAAAGAAAAATAAAAGAAAAACAAAGAAAAATTGAAAGCAAAAGAGAGCCACTACTAAAAATCTGAATAATGCCCAGTAAGTAGTGTTTCTTAGCAGTCTGGCTTGGAAATACTGATGTTTATGCCTCCTTCACTCTTGTGCTCTTACGATATTGAGTAATGCAGGATAGCAGAAAGAAAATACCGGGTTGTTTGACTGTGATTGTGTGTTTGGAATTGTGGAACCTTGTGCTATAACTGCCACCACCTAAAAGGCCTTTTCCCCATGTCCAAGACCCTAGCAAGTCATTTGAACCTGTGTCTAAGACCTCCGGATTAGTTAGTGGTGACACCCCCTTGTGAACTCTAGCATTTAGAGGCTGCATTCATGGTGAAGAGACGTTAGGGATGAGAGAAGAAGCATGCGCATTTTTCGCATCATATTGTCCTGACCCCACTGGTCGAGAGTGAGCGATTCATTTCTTCATTTTCTCTATACTCTTTACCCTGGTGAGGACCTAGATTGCTCGGTCTTAATTCTGATGGCTTGAGCTTTGTGCATGATATGACTGTTTTGAACAAGTGAGTGAGTCAAGTCTATGTTGGTTGGTGAACATGAAAGAACTCTTCCTTTGCTCGACTCTATTGCACTCGAATGTCATCTGTGGTGGTTGTCTAGGTTGTCGTTCGAGTTGCCATGTGTTGATGATCGAAAGCCAGTATGATCCACGTGTTTTATGCCGATGCGATTTGCCCTTGAGCCTGCTTGATTGAAATGTCTCAAGCTTACCTGGTGTCTGACTTGGTTTGCTTAGGGACAAGCAAACGGTTAAGTGTGGGGGAGTTTGATAACGATATAATTACATGATTTTATACCCCTATTTCTTATCCATTTGCGGAGCATGGTTGTGTGTTTTGGCCTATTTTACGCCGGGTTGTGTTACTTTGTCCTATTTCAGGTCCCAGGCGTCAAAGGGAAGGCCAAGCACGAGTTTCGGATCGTTTGCAAGTCGTTTGGACGAGCCAGGGCCAAAACACGGGCAGGAGGCCCTCAGAACACGGCCGTGTTCCAGTGACCGTGCTTTTTAGGCCGAGGCTTCCAAGGGTGGCGTGCACAACCTAAAAAACACGGGCAGGCCTGAGGAAAGCACGGCCGTGTTTTAGCCTGAACACGACCGTGTTTTCAAGCTGCCCGTGGCCGTGCTTTTAAGGCTGAGGCAAAACACGGGCGGGCTGAGGCAAAACACGGCCGTGCCCTCGACCGTGTTTTGGCCAATGATGCCCTTTTAGGCAGATTTCAGCCAAATTGAGAGGGGATTCGAGTTTTAGAGAGATAGAACGATTCCTAGAGAGAGAAAGCGACGAACAAGAGTCTCCAAGCGCCCTAGATCGATCTTCAACACCATTGGAGCTTGGTTTGAGCTTGGAGAAGTGCCGATTCAACGTCCAGGAGCAGAAATCCATCTTCACAGTATGATTTCCGCGTCTGATTCTGCTTTTGCTTCTCTCTCCATGGAGTAGTTCTCCCATTCATCTGGGTGTGGGAAACCCTAGTTCTGTATGTTGAGATTGATTGTATGAACCCAAGTACTGATTCTGTGATTGATTATATTCGATTGAGGTTTTATGTTTGAATGACTTGAATCCTGATCAAATTCCTGTTGTTTCTGCTTTAACCTAGAATGAGAATATCTGCCTAGGTTAATAGAGTATCCTTGATTGAAGGTAGGGAGTTGGTGACTTTAGTCGAGGAGCCAACTCACTATTCTGTACCGGATTTACTCCGGTAGTGGAGGTTTTGTTCTTAGGGCCTCAATCTGTCGACTCCGGTGGAGGTTAGTCGCCCGCTAGAGAGTCAGATTGAGAGGGTCTGAAGACCTTTAGTCGAGACTTCAGGCTGTTTAAGAACCTTCCGCAGTATAATCTTCATAGAAACTGAACTTGGTAATTACAATCCGGCTTAACTGCAGACTAGGGGGAACCATATCCGGGTGACCTCTTTAACCTGAATACAACCAGTTTACTTGCTTTGTTTGTTTGGTAGTTTAGACTTGCACTCCAGTTTTATTGCTAGATAACAAGAACTCATTGAGTAGTCAGCAAATCTAGGACCCGGGTTGACATATAAACCTAACCCGCTATACTACGCTTTAGGAAGTGGTTTCACTTGGCCAATTCCTAGGGTGACAGTAGAGTCGAGTCAGGAAGCCCGGTGGTCCCTGGGGGACTGGTGGTCTGGAATTTGCCCCTCCCCAGGAGAAGTTAGGATGCTGGCACCACCCCTCGTTGTAAGTGTTACTGTAGGGGTCGTTGCGCCTGACATTATTGATGAAGTTCACCTGCTCCTGGGGTGTGGTTGACTCCTTCATCGCCTGGCAGTCTTCCACCGTATGATGGGTGCTTTCGCACCAGTGGCAGAGCATCGCCTGCTGCTATCCGGTCCCTGGAATCATCCCGGAACGATCGATAGCTGAGACCAGCTTCGATACTACCTGCACCAAATCAGAGGGATGGGCTCCCACAGAATGTACACCTCGGCTGGGTGCTCTCCTCGACCTCCTGGCAGTGCCCCAATCATAACCGTTCTCCGCCATCTCCTCAAAGAGTTGATTCAGCTGTGGCGGGGTTTTTGTCAGCATGTTCCCGCCACAAACCGAATCAATCAGCTGCTTGTCCTCCGGGAAGAGGGCGTGATAGAAGGTGCCCACCTTGAATGCATCATTGAAACCATGATTGGGACACCTGAGAAAGAGGCTTGTGTATCTCTCCCAAGCATCCCTAATGGTCTCATCCTCATCCTGAGAAAAATGTGTAATTTGCTTCTGCAGATCAGCTGTCTTGGATGGAGGATGGTAGCGGGTGAGGAACTTGTCCGCCAGGTTGGAGAACGTGGTAATGGAGCCCGGAAGTCGAGTGTCTAGCCACTCCTTGGCTTGCCCCTCCAGCATGAATGGGAAGTACCTCAGCTGGATGGCATCTGCTGGTACCCCATTGATCTTGATTCCATCGATGAGCTCGGTGGAATCGCCTGAGATGTGATCGGGGGCACTCTCCCTCCTTACCACGGAACACCACTGAACCGCGCAGCATGGTGATCACTGAGGTGCTCACCTAAAAATTGTTGGCTGGGACATGAGGGTGTTGAATGGGTGACCGCATGTCCGCAGCCCTAGCGGTCCAGTAGGATCCCATGGTCTGCTCTTCCGGGATCACATCACGGTTCTCTGGATCAGCCATCTCGTCTTCTTCTTCTTCTAACTGCAGCTGTGATAGCTCCTCCTCCGCAGCCAGTCGTGCCTTTAGAGCCCTCTTGAAGTTCCTGCAAATTCGTTCAAGCTCCTGGTCTAATGGTAGTAGATCTCCCGACTGGCTACGGGTCATGCACTACCTGCACACAGTTAGCAGAAACAACCCGTGAAGGCACACAGGTGGAAGAGAAAAATGCAATAAAGAAAAAGCTAGAGTAACAAATTCTCACGTTTCCCCAATAACCTAGAGGGTCCCCGGCAACGGCGCCAAAAACTTGACACGCCAAAACACAACACCAAACTGCGACCAAGTGTAATCGCAGTCCGGGAATGCAGTAACAGGCAAGTTCAATTATCAACCCGGGGTCTAGATCTACTGCTTACTCCGTGATTCTCTATTATCTAGCAAACTAGTTCGAGTGATTGTTGTTAAAAGCAAAAGCAGCAAGAAAGCAGTAAATTGTTCGGTTTTCAAAGTCAGGAAAGAGTCACTCGGGATTGAGTCCCCCTAGCCCCTTAGTTAGGTTCAATTGTAATTCCCCTGGGTTGATTTACTGTTGATTAGACTGCGGAAGCTCCGACAGTAGCTTGGAATCTCTTAAGCTGACCAAGCCCTCTCAGTCTAGCTACCCGGCAGACGACTAGCCTTCACCGGGATAGAAAGCTGAGGCTATGAACACAGAACTCCACTACTGGAATTGAATTCCAGTACAAAGCAGTAAACTGGCCAACTCTCGTATAGCCAATCTCCTACTATCGAATGAAGAGACTCTACCAACCTAATCAGATTCTATCTATCTCAGGTTGCAGCAGAAATTGAGAAAAGCTGATCAGACTCCAATCAATTCAATAAACATGCATCATTCGATTAAAATCAAACAGTAATATCATCCCAAGTCATTACAATCAAATCCCTAACACAAGGAACTAGGGTTCTTCATACCCAAGTGAGAGAAGGGTTCTACTCCATAGAGAGAGAAGAGAAAACAGTAATCGGAGTAGTCATACTCATAACGATGAGGAAAATCTGCTCCGGGATGATGATTTCCACTCCTATGACGATCTCCAAGCTCGATTCGACGAAACCCAGCTCCAAGATAGCTTCTAGGATGTGTTCTTCGCACTTTCTCTCTCTAGGGCTCTGTTTTTGCTCTGAAAACTCGATTCTCACACTTTTGGCTCGGAATAGGCTCTAAAACCAGGATTTCCCGACTCGCACGGCCAGGCCACACGGCCGTGCGACTCACCCACTTGGCCGTGCGGCTCAAAATGCAGCGTTTCATTAAGTTCGATCCTCAGGCTTCTCACACGGCCAGGGTGCACGGCCGTGTGAGAATTCCAGCTTGCCCGTGCTTGGCCTCGGCAAATATCACACGGCCAGAATTGCACTTAGCACGGCCGTGTGAAGTTCATGGGTTGCCCGTGCGTGGCATTGGTAAAAAGCACACGACCATCTTGCTCACATTCACGGCCGTGTGATGCCCTGTTCTGCCCGTGCGGCTTCCTTGACACCTCGCCACGCGTCCGATCTTCGTCCAATCGACCCCAGACTCGCTCCCAAGCCTCCATTCACGTACTAGGACCTGAAATATCACAAACAAGCACAACCTAGCGTGAAATCGGCCTAAAACACGAGAATCAACACCTCAAACGGTGTAAGAACGAGGGTAAAAACATGTGTAAATAACGGTCTATCACTTACTCTTTTGGAGGTTTGGTGATTAACATCGGAGATATGCTTCAGGCAAGTTCCTTATTTAGTTATTTTGTTGTTGTGGAAAGTTGACTTAATTCTTCGAGACTCATAACATAATGGTCCAATTTTTCCCCCCTAGTTGATATCGAACGATGTGTTTATAAGCGTGGAGCACAGAGTGGTGGCGAAAAGTGTTGGGCCACGAGTGTCGATAGCATCGCTTTTCGGCACAAGAATTTCGCCGCATCCGAAGATCTATGGGCCGACAAAGGAGTTGGTGTCGGAAGATAATCCACCGATATACAAGGAAACCACAATGCAGAACTACGGTGCCCGCTACTTTGAAAAGGGTCTTGATGGGAGCTCTACATTGCTTCAGTTTAAGCTATGCGGGTCGAGTTGCTAAATATCTATGCGAAACTTAAGATTTACGTAATGTATTTTAGACATATAATCCGTTTGGGAGTCTGTTATACCAATCGAGGCATATCCCGGAGAATGTTGACGGGAAGGTTCTGCATAGTGCCGCGTTGGAATTAGTTTGGAGTTGCATGCGCAAGCAGAAAGTGCTCTACGTGGGGAGGGTGGGTGGCATTCCGCTCAGTTGCTCCGCCATGATTTCCGCGCTTAGCGGTTGGTGGAGCGCCTTTTTGAGTGGGTTGGAGCGGTATTGCGGGGATAAGTGTTGCTCCAGGAAGCTGAGGTCTGCCCTACCCAGCGGCTCGGCTTGTTGCGCTTCACACGCTGGGAATTCGGCCGGCGCGGGTTGTGGTGGCGGGGCGATTCCTATCGCTTCACCAGGTGCTTGCAGCGGCGCGCTTGGTGTCGCCTCCACTGTCGTCGCGGCTTCTTTGCTCATCATGAGCGCTATGACTTGGCTCATTTGCTTCTTCATATCGGCTATGACGTTGTTCTGCTTCGCCATTAGCTGCCTCATTTCCTTGGCGGTCAGCTCAGGCTCTTCTTCTTCGATGAGCACCGCGTTGAGGTTGCTGGTTTCCGCGAACGCTCTCGGGTTGGTCATTGCTTTGATGGGTGTTGCTTCATCAGGTAAGTTGGGGTCGTGTTCAGCCATTGGTTGTTTTTCTTTGCTTCTCTACTTGGCCCCATGGTGGGCGCCAATTGTTTGAACCTAACTGAGTGTAGGAGTGAGGTACGGGAAAGAAAGTGGGTCAAGGGAGGTAAGCAAGGAAAATCGACTGTATGACGTAGAACCAAGATCTTGGGAAACAGGGATGAGAGAATTCGTCTTTAGAGAGAGAATTTGATGTTTGTAGAGATAGAGTCTGAAAATTGCGATCCCCTCACCCACCGGAGTAAATGCCATATTTATAGGCTAAAGGGTGGTGGGTGAGTGGTTGAGTTACATGATGGTACAATGACATGACCACTGACATGTCAGGGATTTAGGACATGCCTCTACCTAGGACATGTCAGAGGTTTACCTATGACTGTATCTAGGACCCTGATGTGACTACCCCTCGGGAAGCGCGATAACGCTTTCTGCAGCTCTTTGGTCTGGTCCGTGCTTTGATCTTTCCACGTGCGCGTACCCAGTGACGCGCTTGAGGTCTTCGCGCTGAGCCGCGCCGGGGGTCTTCACGCTGTGTCGCGCAAGAGGTCTTCGGTCGTGTCGCCCCTCGACGGGTCCGGCAGCAACTGGGGTAGTGTCGGTGCATTCCTCTGGCGCGGCTAGGTCCGAGTCACATGGCCAACAATTTCCCCCCATCAGGGGTTGTTCCGTGAATACCTCATGTTGATTTCCGCCTGATTGACTCCGACCTGCGTGATCTCCGTGTTGTGGACTTTCCGGGTTCGTTACTGATCGCGCTGATTTTCCGCCTGAATGAAGTCGTGCTGATCGCGCGGCTTTCATGGGATTCTTCACTTTGAGCCACGCGCGACACTTGCGATTGATGTTGTATTGATCGCGCGGTTTTCGTGGGATTGGCTCTGGCCTACGTGATCTTCGCGGGATTTTTTTGATGGTGTACCGGTGGGTGTTCCGCGAATGGCGCCTATCCATTCTTCTGCACGATTCTCGAGGGCTTTGTGTACGGATCGCCTAAGTTGAAGAAGACTTGGTTCGAGCGCTTCTTTTACGTGAACCCCACTCCCGGGGAATGGGTGAGTGAATTTGTTGAGGAGTCGACTGTTTGGAAGAAAGGCGGCACGCATGGATATGAATTGGAGCTGGGCTAGTACGCCGAGCTCGATGATGAGTACGAGGCGTGCATGCTGCAGAAGTTCAACCTTTACGCGGCTGGGGTCCGCGAGGCCTGTTTGGCGGAACTATTTGCCGATGGTTAGTTGTGCTTCTTTCGTTTTGTATTCTTTCTTATTAACCGCCCTCTTACTATTTCTTGGCGCATGTATTGATTTTTCCAGCCTGGCCAGTATGATGTCAGTCGATGACGTCGTAAAGGCACCTCGCGCTGGGAGGAAAAAGTAGAAGGATGGCGCGCCTCCCAAGAGTGGGAAGCGGAAGGAGCCCGAACAGCCGCTGGTCGCGGAGAGGGCGCAGAAGGCGGTTCGCATTGCTGAACCGGCTGCACAGGCGGTACCGCGGCCGCCCTTGACAATCGCGGAACCTGTGCCGCGAGTAGATGGTGCTGCTCGCCCCGATAGGGGCGCTTCCGGTAGTTCATCAAGGCCAAGCGTCCAACAAAAGCTGCCTTAGATGGCTGGGGGAGCCATCGACTACTTCCATGATGTGCGGATTCACACTGGGGCGGCTTGCAATCTGGCGTCCGCGAATACCGCACTTCGGGCACTCGGACCTGTCCTAAGTGTCCCAACGCGACTGGAGAAGTCGGACCCCCTTCATGACCTGGCTCAGGTCCACTTCGCGGTAAGATTGGGTTGGTTTCTCGCGGAGTCTTCGAAGTTATCTTCTTTATTGAGTGCAATGTTTTGCTAAGTCTTTTAGCGTTGTGGTTGAAGGGTTTGTTGGCGACCTTCCGGGCCCAGCAGGAGCGCGCTTCGCAGCGCGCGAAAATGAGGGCTGAAGAGGCGCAGATCGTTCAGCTGGAGGGGAAGCTTGTTGGAGCGAACAATCGTGCCGACGTGGAGACGAACAAAGCCAACGAAGCTATGGAGGAGCTCGGCGTCCTGCAGAGCAAGTTGGCCACTGACGTGGAGGCGGCTAAGGAGCAGGTGCGGGCCGAGGAGCGCTCCGCCATCCGAGAACACCGAGAACAGATGGAGGCCTCTTACGCGGAGAAGCTGAAGCGAGCTCGCGAAGAGTTCCAAAAGGAGAAGGACGACCTGGTCCGCCTTCACCGTGTCGCGAAAGCGGAAGCTGTTCGCACGGCCGAGGTTGCGAGCGTTCGTCAGTTCAAGTCTTCTCCCTCTTTCGGGAAGATTTTGGCGGACGCCATAACCAAGGCCGTGATCGCGGTCGGGAAGAAGGTTCGGCCAGAAAACCCGGGGGTGCGCTGGGATACTCGCGAAATGGTCCAACACGTCAAAATGTGGCTTGGCGAGAAGCGGCCCTTGGAGTCTGACTCCGAGTCAGGGGATGAGGATGAGGATGATGATGAGGAGCAGGGGCGCCCGGATGGGGAGAAGGCTGAGGGCCCTAGTGGGGATGGCGAGAAAGATGATGATGGCGAGGAAGAGGATGTTCAGCCTTTGCAGCGCTGCAAAAAGAGTAGAGAGGATGTTCTGCCTAACACTGATGGTGTTCAGGCGGACTAAGTGTTATCGCGCTAGCGTGTTTCCTTCTCTAATTTGTTGCTTTGCTGCTTTTCTTATTTTCTTCTTCCTCTTTTTTTTATATATCAAGTGTAGTTGCGAACATTGCTGATGCTCCCGCTTAATTAAATCCAAAGAGTCTTCCTTTGTGGCGCTCATTTGTTAATGTGTTCGTTTGTTCCTTCGAACTTTGTGGGCGCGAATAGTTCATGACTATTGCTATTTTTTGTCCTTTCGAACCGGGTGGGCGCGAATGGTTCGTGCCCATTGCTATTGTTTGTTCTTTCGAACTTTGTGGGCGCGAATAGTTCATGACTATTGATATTGTTTTGTTCTTTCGAACCGAGTGTGCGCGAATGGTTCATGCCCATTGCTATTGTTTTGTTCTTTCGAACCGAGTGTGCGCGAATGGTTTATGCCCATTGCTATTGTTTTGTTCTTTCGAACCGAGTGTGCGCGAATAGTTCATGGCTATTGCTATTGTTTTATTCTAACGAACTTTATACTTTTTATTCCCTTGCACCAAAGCGCCATCAAAACAAGATACACATTAGGTTGACCGGTGATATTTCCTGAGATTCTGCGCGTTCCACGTCCTTGGGATTTCGTTGCCCCCCAATTCGCTGAGCTTGAAAGTGTTGGCGCCGACCACTTCGCATATTAGGTATGAGCCCTCCCATGCTGAGGCAAGCTTTCCGTGTTTAGGATTGGGGCGGAAGTTTCGTCGCAGCACTTGGTCACCGAGAATTAGCTTGTGCGGGACTAATTTCGCGTTGTAGTATTTGACCACTTGCTCCTTCATCGCCACCAGTTTGATGGCTGCTAACTTGCGTCTTTCCTGCGCCAGTTCCAAGTCTAACAGGCGTGCCTCATCGTTGGTTTCTTCGTTGTACGTCGTGATACGATACGTTGGGGCCGTTGTCTCGATGGGGATAACCGCGTCAGTGCCCTACGTAAGCGCGAATGGAGTTTCTCCTGTTGCCACTTTGTACGTGGTTCGATGTGCCCATAACACTGTGTTGAGCTCGTCTGCCCAATTACCTTTGGCTTCGTCCAAGCGAGTGTGCAAGCCGTGGTGGATTGCTTTGTTGGCAGATTCCGCTTGGCCGTTGGCTTGAGGGTAGGCTACCGATGCAAACCTCGCGATGATCCCCACTTGGTCGCAGAAGTCCATTACTTCCGCGCAGTCAAATTGTTTCCCATGATCGAAGATGAGCGCGTTTGGGACTCCAAAGCGCGTCAGGATATTGTTCCTCAAGAAACGTGTCACCTGTTGTGCCGTTATCGAGGCTAGTGCTTCGGCCTCAATCCACTTGGTGAAGTAGTCTACTGCCACGATAATGTATTTGCGCTTTCCTTTTGCCGTTGGGAAGGGGCCCAAGAGGTCTACTCCCCATTGCGCGAAAGGCCATGGGCTCAGGTTGCCTTGAAGCTCGGTGGACGGGAGGTGATGCTGGCGCGCATTTATCTGGCACTTGTGGCACTGGTCTGCGTATTTCTTCGTGTCCTTTTTTACGCGTGGCCAATAGTATCCGTGTAGCAGGATGATGCGCTCCATGCTGCATGGGCTGGCATGCATTGCGCACAACCCTTCGTGTAGGTCGCGCACCATGTTGCGCGCCTCTTTATGCCCAACGCATTTTAGGTAAACTCCCGAGTATGACCATCGGTATAACTCTCCTCCGATGAGTGTACACCGGGCCGCCTTTT